AGAGCAAGCCCTTGAATCCCCACGTTGGCGAGGCGGCGGGCCAGCAACTGGTGGTCGACCGTGTCAAACGCAGCCGACAGATCTAACAACACCAGTGCTGCCATGCCACCTCGATCCAGATGCCTACGGAAATCATCCGTCAGAGCGACCAGCACCGTCTCCGTCCCGTGGCCCGGGTGAAAGCTGGACTGGAAGTAGAAAGCCCTTCCCTTCCTCCACCCAACTGGTTTCTTCTTCAAACAAAAAAAATTTTCTGCATGATCAGTGGAGCCTCAACACGGGGGGGGGGGTTGGACTTAGCAAGCACAACTGTCATTGTTAAGGTTTTCCTTCTCAAAATCTCAATAATATCAACGCATAGCAGAAAGGAAGCTTTCTGCTTTGGAATCAAAGACTGACTGAGTTATATGGGAGAGAGCTCAAATGCAGAGCAAGGCAAAAGTCTGTATCACTTCAGTTTCTCAGATCATAATATAGTGCTCTGTGGTAAAAGTTCTCAAGGATCAGAGCTGACATTCATTTCACCAGAACTCCCTTAGATGACTTATAAAGTAGCGGTCCCACTTCTGACAGATAGATAAACTTCAGTGACATTTAATTAGCTGTCGTGCAAAACCATTTCTAAACCCATTGCGTCCATCACACCGGAAACGCTGCTGTTGAAATAAAAAAGCATTTGGGCACCCTTATGTAAGGCAAGCCGTGTGTGTGAAGAACCTCCTATATGATGCACGCTGATTTTTACCGTAACAGTAAAACCATGATCATAAATGTTTTCTCTCTAACAAAATGAAGGTCTGTGATCTGCTATCAGCTATATAAAAGGCTTAAACAGAAAACAGGTCTTAAAATCCAATCTGGGGCTACAAACAAGGTGGCAAACGGGTGCAGAATAAGGGTTTCTTAATAAGAATTCCACATAAAGAACTATTTCCAATGGAAAACAGCACAACCATTACTTCATCAGGAACTCCTTGAACCAGAGTGAAACTATATTCATTTACCTTCTCACTATCATCTTACCATAAAGTAGCCACCCCAAACAAATTTGTGGTGCCAGGAAGGAAGGCAGAGTGGGAGACTGCTAAATCCCTGGGATACAATTTGCTAGGAAATTAACCCTGCACAAAACAGTCCTAATTAAACAATGGAAACCAGCCAAGAGCACTGCTGCATCAAGGCACACCCTACTATTCATTACAACAAGGTTTGGACAGGAGATCTTCCTACTGGATTGTGCGGCATGTTAATTAACGTATTCTGGTCAAGCCCAAATTCCATCTATGCATCAGACAAGGCACACCCTACTATTCATTACAACAAGGTTTGGACAGGAGATCTTCCTACTGGATTGTGCGGCATGTTAATTAACGTATTCTGGTCAAGCCCAAATTCCATCTATGCATCAGATGATTATTGCTTAAGAGCTACCTGTTTAAAGAGTTAGTAGAGTTAGGTCAGCTGCAAAGAAAGCGGGTGAAGATGTGGGGACTCTACCCCGACATATTAGTCTACAAGACTGATTAATCCCTCCCCAGCCCAATACCTTCTCATCTTTTGTATTCACATCCACTTTCTTTGATCGGATGGCTTTGGTTACATGTTCAATGTTGTTCTCTCTGCAGTAGTCAAATATGTTCTTATCTTCCTCCCTAAGAAGAAATAAGAAAAAAGTTCTGTATCATTACCGAACTACACATACAAATTATACGAGCATGAGATGCCAGCTTTGCCACAGATTGTTGGATCCCCAAGCATCGAGAATAAATCCACGTTTTAAAGAAAAGCAAAATTTATTTCAAAGCTTTGGAAAGACACTCAAACACGTTCTTTGTTAGAACTGAATACAAACGGTTAGGGCAAGCATGATAAAGGGATTTGAACCAGGTACAGAACCAATGGGTCACTTTCCCGCTGGCGGGTGAAAGGAAACGGTTGCGCGCTCATTCCCTGAGAACCAGGCTATCTCCAGACATAATACAGGTGCAGTTCCCAGGCTCTAAAAGCAACAAGCTGGCAGTTCTCAATAATATCAACGCATAGCAGAAAGGAAGCTTTCTGCTTTGGAATCAAAGACTGACTGAATTACATGGGAGAGAGCTCAAATGCAGAGCAAGGCAAAAGTCTGTATCACTTCAGTTTCTCAGATCATAATATAGTGCTCTGTGGTAAAAGTTCTCAAAGATCAGAGCAGACATTCATTTCACCAGAACTCCCTTAGATGAGTTATAAAGTAGCGGTCCCACTTCTGACAGATAGATAAACTTCAGTGACATTTAATTAGCTGTCGTGCAAAACCATTTCTAAACCCATTGCGTCCATCACACCGGAAACGCTGCTGTTGAAATAAAAAAGCATTTGGGCACCCTTATGTAAGGCAAGCCGTGTGTGTGAAGAACCTCCTATATGATGCACGCTGATTTTTACTGTAACAGTAAAACCATGATCATAAATGTTTTCTCTCTAACAAAATGAAGGTCTGTGATCTGCTATCAGCTATATAAAAGGCTTAAACAGAAAACAGGTCTTAAAATCCAATCTGGGGCTACAAACAAGGTGGCAAACGGGTGCAGAATAAGGGTTTCTTAATAAGAATTCCACATAAAGAACTATTTCCAATGGAAAACAGCACAACCATTACTTCATCAGGAACTCCTTGAACCAGAGTGAAACTATATTCATTTACCTTCTCACTATCATCTTACCATAAAGTAGCCACCCCAAACAAATTTGTGGTGCCAGGAAGGAAGGCAGAGTGGGAGACTGCTAAATCCCTGGGATACAATTTGCTAGGAAATTAACCCTGCACAAAACAGTCCTAATTAAACAATGGAAACCAGCCAAGAGCACTGCTGCATCAAGGCACACCCTACTATTCATTACAACAAGGTTTGGACAGGAGATCTTCCTACTGGATTGTGCGGCATGTTAATTAACGTATTCTGGTCAAGCCCAAATTCCATCTATGCATCAGGTGATTATTGCTTAAGAGCTACCTGTTTAAAGAGTTAGTAGAGTTAGGTCAGCTGCAAAGAAAGCGGGTGAAGATGTGGGGACTCTACCCCGACATATTAGTCTACAAGACTGATTAATCCCTCCCCAGCCCAATACCTTCTCATCTTTTGTATTCACATCCACTTTCTTTGATCGGATGGCTTTGGTTACATGTTCAATGTTGTTCTCTCTGCAGTAGTCAAATATGTTCTTATCTTCCTCCCTAAGAAGAAATAAGAAAAAAGTTCTGTATCATTACCGAACTACACATACAAGTTATACAAGCATGAGATGCCAGCTTTGCCACAGATTCTGTTACTTTGGCATTACTGAGTAAAGCAGATTGCCAGCATATTACATGCAAATAGCACTCTTCTTGTTGGTATACACTCTGCATCAAATATTGCTCACAGTGTTTAGACAAAACCACAAAGAGCTAAATTCTCAGCAACAGGTAAACATGCTAGAATGACAATATTGACAACTTTAAATTCAAAACATTCCAGAAATGAGGTTCCAGATCATCATGAAACTACGATCACAGTTGAAGAACTGAACTTATTTGGAAACAGAACACTGATGCCATTCCATGGTAACAGACTTCAGAGACTAAGTTAAGGCTATGGCAACCGAAACACAAGAAAACTCCATAATTGGTGGATTTCGGGTATCCTAAGAGAAAGGGAAAACCTAAGAGGTCTTTTAAATGCCACACACCCCAGTTCTGAGAAATCAAAAAGTATATTATCTGATACATTTTAATTACCTGTTTTAACTGTCCATTTTACTCAATTTCATATTGGTTTAACTGGACGGTATTTATGTTTTTTACAACATTTTTGTATTTAATCTACTACTGTAACCTGCCTTGGGTACTGACTGTCAGGAGAAAGGCACAGTATCCAAAGGTTCTAAATAAAGGACTGAAACAGTGGTGGAGAATACTGAACTAATGATTGCCGAGTACATTTTCTTTACTCTTTCAACTTTCTACACCTTGAGATTAATTCTTTAAAATTCAGAGGTTGCTTTCTCCTAGCATAGTACTTTTTAAATCAATGAACTGATATTGGGATCTCATGGCAGGAAAAAAATATATATTTGCATGACTTAGTGGTTTCTGTGAACTGGACCTCTATGGAACACATTCCCTATTTTGCATATGTACTTCCCCCTCACCCAACCTCATACATTCCATAGACTCAAGTATTAAAAGCTTTTCCTGGAGTGTGCTAACTCGAGGAGCAAGCAGGCAAATCACATCTTTGAGTACTTGCCCATCTGAAAAACTCTCTAGAAACCGCACATTAGGAACAAACAAGGCTGAATCCTCCTACCAGAAATGTTCATATTTATTTGTTTATTTAATTACATTTATATCCCGCCCTCCCCGCACGTGGGCTCAGGGCGGCTTACAGTACACAGGCGTAAAACAACACCATAGTTACGCAATCAAGGCACACAGTGCAATAAAAAAACAGTTAAAACATTTTTAAAACAGTTAAATACAATGGGCAACTCCCAAGGATCCAGCGCGACTAACACACTCGCTCCCTACTGCACATCCCATTAAGTCAAAAAAGGGGGGGAATGCTATGGCCCCGATGTTCAACGGCCAATCAACCTAGCCCAGCGGTCCTGCTTTGCAGGCCCCAATTGGTGGTGGTGGTGGCGGTGACTCCTATTCGAAAGCCTGGCGGAAGAGCTCCATCTTGCAGGCCCTGCGGAACTGTAACAGGTCCTGCAGGGCCCTGATCTCCTCCGGGAGCTCATTCCACCAGATATGGTGGAATGCAGGGAGATAGCGGGGGGGTTGGGGGGGGGGGGGGAGAGGAAAGGAAAGATTCTGACATGCAGTTGCTTTGACTACAATTGTGAAGCCCAGTAAACTTTCATACCTTGATTCCACAAAGTGTATTAATTGTTCTGCACAGGATTTCTCTTAAATTTCAGAGGGTAGCCATGTTGCTCTGCAGTAGAACAATTAGATTTGTATCTAGTAGGACTTTGGAGGCCCACAAGATTTCCAGGGTATACACCTTTGAGAGCGAATGCCCCCTTTGTCAGATACCACCAAAGAGAGCATTAACTTGAAAGATTATACCCCGAAAACCTTGTTCCACCTGTAAGGTGTTATTGGACTGTAATCTAGCAATTCATTTAAAAGCCACAAGAACCTTGGTCTAGAGTAGGGGTAGGCAAGCCTTCCTTCCCACAGGCATGCCAAACGGCAGTGCAACAGACCAGTGCATACACCAAGGAAGCTCTCTTGCTCTGCCAGGCAAGGCGAGGTGTGGCTGAGTTAGGCTCTGGGATGTTTCTGGGCCTAGACCAGTGACATCATCAACCAGAGCTCCTCAGAACAACAGCATCCCCACCTGAATGGTTGGTGCTGTACTATGCGGGCATGCAGTTATCTTGGCAGACTGAGGCAAGCATGGGAGGGTTGGCTGGATGCATACACTGTGCCTTCCACTCCTCTGAAGACCCAATGCTAACCATGTTCATTCCCTCCCAGACAGAAATCAGGGCAACCAGAGTGGCAACGGAGCCTAGTGCTACTTGAATGTAGCTACAGGCCAGGAGATCACTTACTGCATCTTGCTGCTCTCAAGCCCTTCTGGTTGGCTGCCTTTCTCCACTTGGCACAATTCAGCTTGGCTGCGGGGGGGAGAGGTAGCCTCAGCCCTTACCTAACAAGAAGGAACACTTGGAGGACCCCACATAGCATAGGACAGCCTCCCCCCCCTTTTCCTGGCTAAGTGTTGCATGCCTGAAAGGGAAGCTGGCACAAGGGCTTGTGGTGGGAAATGTTGTCAAGTCGCAGCTGACTTATGGTGACCCGGTGGGGTTTTCAAGGCAAGAGACATTCAGAGGTGGTCTGCCATTGCCTGCCTCCATATCATGACCCTGGTATTCCTTGGTGGCCTCCCATCCAAATACTAGCCAGGACCAACCCTGATGGGAGGAAAGCGATGGCGAACCTAAACAGCATGATAAAAAGTAGAGACATCACCCTGCCAACAAAAGTCCGTATGGTCAAAGCAATGGTATTCCCAGTAGTCATGTATGGCTGCGAGAATTGGACTATAAGGAAGGCCGAGCGCCAAAGAGTAGATTCTTTTGAACTATGGTGCTGGAGAAGACTCTTGAGAGTCCCTTGGACTGCAAGAAGATCAAATCAGTCAATCCTAAAAGAAATCAACCCTGACTGTTCCCTGGAAGGCCAGATAATGAAACTGAAGCTCAAATACTTTGGCCACCAAATGAGAAGGGAGCCCTCACTGGAGAAGACCCTGATGCTGGGAAAGATTGAAGGTCAAAGAAGACGGGGACGGCAAAGGATGAGATGGTTAGACACTGTCATAGATGCAACGAACATGAAGTTGAGCAAACTTCAGAGGACGGCGGAAGACAGGAAGGCCTGGCGTGATCTGGTCCATGGGGTCGCGTAGAGTCGGACTTGACTGTGCAACTGAACAACAAACAACTCTGCTTAGCTTCTGAGATCTGACGGAGATTGGGCTAGTCTTATTCCCATGAAAAAAATAATGGGATCTAATACACACCACTCTTATTTGCTGGCGCACCAACCTCTTCGTAGGTAGATTATGCCCTTTTGTTAGGCACTCTGGCTAGAAAGGTTGCTGTGATGGACTGTCAAGGGTTAATGTCTAACAGAATCTGAGAACGTTTCAGTGACAGGGTGTTCAAATGGAATTCTATGGAGCGAGTAAGTTAATAAATGACTGTTGGGAACTGAGAATTGAAGAATTGATAGTTAAGCACTAACTGTGGACTGGGAAGGAGGTAAAACGAGTGAGAGGATCAGAGAGGATCCTCATTCAAGCTGCAAAATTGCTTCTAGTTAAGAGAAGTAATCCCTGCCCAGTGAAAAGGGAGATAGCTCTTAAAAGAGGAAGTGATCCATGGTCTGTGTATATAGAAGGATTTTGGTAACTTGGTTGTATGTTCCTGCCTTCTAGGCTTTAAGAGCCATTGAAACTCAGAAACCTATGCTTGAGTGTTTAAGCAGAAATGGAAAAGAAAGCCTCTCCCCTCAAAGTTTTAAAAGACCTTTTTGAATAACAGAAACACTTACTTGTAGGCAACAAGTTATCTGGAGTTAGCATGATTACAAAGTTTCCTCAGTTTTATTATTGGTTCACCAAATATATCCTACCCCTGATTCCACCTGGCCTTTTCTCCTCTAAGTTAAATAATAAATTTTGTTTATTTTAAACTTTCAAAGGCATTTTGTGTGCCATTTCAGAAGCTGAATATAAGAAGGTGAAGCTGAGTATAAGATGCTGGGTCAGCATATATATTAAAACAACTGGGTAGGACACCTATAGATAAACTAATAAGAGAATACAGATATAGGGGCTGCTCAGCAAGAAACAAGAAAAAAGGGAAAATCCCGTGCATGAGGGAGGGAAGTGGGCGAGATCACCATAGTTGCTTACATCCCATCTAAAGGTTAGCATTGAAGATGCAGGTAAGCATTCCTCTATTTGGTCCCTGGGGGTCTAACTCATTTAGTAAAACATCAACTCCTTAAAGGCTTACTTAGCTCCTTCACAATACTATTAATTGCAAGTTGTTCCTTTAGTGTTGTTAATTGTGTATAAGTTTGTGGAACAAAGAGGTCATCATTGTATTTGAAATCTATGACGTTTGGCAGCTGCATTTTGAATCACTCATCGCCTGCATCATGCTCCATACGTTTTATGGACAAGGACGCCCATGGAGACTAAAAGGATGGCAAGGCCGAACCGTCAGAGAGCAACTGGCCAGAATGGAGCCCAAAGCGTGCCACTGCTGTTTCCAAGATTTGGCCTTTACACCTCTGTGAACCAATAGTTTAGATGCTCACACAGGAGAGAAAAGAGTATACTGGTGATAATCATTTTGTCCAAGCATGAATAAAGGACACAGAACACATTTTATTCAGAGTCATAGTTTACTCAAATGCTTAAGGAAGTAGTAAATCATTTAATACTAATAATACTAATGCTAATAACAACAATCAAAGCTTGAAAGAATGCTAAATAAGTAACATTTAAGATACCAACCCACTTATAAGTCTGTAAACCAGTGTGAACAGCCAGGGTGGTGTAGTGGTTAAGAATGTTAGGGTGCGGTCAGATGGCGTGCCGGGAGTGGTGTAAAGTGCTCTGGTTCCAACTGGACTAATTTGATCCAGACAAGCACGGTCACACG